ATCTGATAATCATCCTTAGGGTAAAATGACCATTTTATCCATGGTCAAAGTCAATGTCCTAGTCAAGGTCAAAGTCAAGGTCAACTCCCATTCAACCCAACTCGTTGAGTTGTCTCCTAACTTGGTGAGTCCATGAAATTCTTAAACTCATGGTTGACTGAGTTAACTCGTCAAGTCCCTCTACAGACTCATCAAGTTCTTTCTGTCATAATAATCGGGACAGTCTGCTTCAACTTGTCAAGTCCTTCCCTAGACTCGTCGAGTTCCCTTATCTGATTGAGCCATCCCAATGGATTAAGCTCCTACCTTTCAGATCTTTGCTCCAAACTTCATCTACATACTAGCAATACACTCGTAAGGGTAAATTTTCCAACTTTACCTATGATATCCCCATTTTTCACGGCCATAAAAGACCGATTTTGTTTATGCTTTGTAAAAATCAGAGTACTTCTTTTCATAAAAATATTGCGGAATTTATTCCCAAAAAAACATGATAAATACGTTATCAAAACATTTTTGAAGAAACGTATTTTATTCATTTTAAAATGTTTGGGATGTCATCGTCAATACAGAAACATAAGCATAAACAAAACTTACTTTTATTTACACTATTGATCTACATCTCTATAATCTCTTAGTGTAATGTGACTTCATATCAATACCTGTAATATAAATAAACTGATTGGGTTAGGTTGGGAAACCTGGTGAGTACATAGGGTTTTCAACCCACACTAATATAATTATTATGTTTAAACAATCAAACAATCAACCCAATTACCCATCCCCATTATCTTCCTTACTCTTAAGATTCTACCCTAAGGGTCATCTATCCTGCATTTGTTCATTCTGAAGTCCTTCGCTTCCAGGGTTATAGGACTTGCACTAAGTCCATAGCTGCCAATGCTTATTCCTAAAACACTAATTCCATAGCTTCTAAAGTTCATTCATCGGGTACTAAATCCATAGCTACCAGTATCTAGGTACTAAGTCCATAGCTACCAACATTTATCTATCAGGTACTAAGTGCATAGCTACCAGCATTTATTCAATAGGCATTAAGTCCATAGCTGCCAATGATCATTCATATCATCTTTTATCTCTCATCATTCATCTACCCATGTTATACCCAACATATTTGTAGATATAAAATATGTATACAGTTTAAATCATTTAAAACTTGTATAAGATCGTTCATCCAGCATAGATAGTAAGTATATAGATAATATGCACACATAGTATGCAGTTTATATAAAATGTTTCATATCTATGTGTAAGATGAAAGGGACCATGCACTCACCTGAAAGGTGGTGACTCAGCACTCGGACAGCGCTTCGATACTCTCAAAACAATTTTCCTTCGATAAAACCTAGTATCAATACCACTAGGGTTTAGTCTAACGATAACCGAGACAAATTAATAGTCTGACTATTATTACTATTATATAAGCGTTAAACGATACTTATATAACTCATAATAATAGCCCAAATAATTATTTTAAGGGCCTAATAACATTACTATAATTATTTGAAAGCTATATTAAAAATTGCGTATGCGTAGCTCACTTATAGCGGATTTTAAAGAAAACTGTGTTTTGCTTGGAGCAGCATTTCGAAATCGAAAGACCCTTTTTCTCGGGACTCTGGGAGCCTTGGGGCTTCCTTCAGGAGCTAGGGGATTTACTTAGGGTTTAGGGGTGGTTTGGGATCCTAGAGAGAGAAAGAAACTGGAGAGAGAAGTGATTTTGGGTGTGAAAATGCGCGCAGCCTTGGCCTCCTTTTTTAGCTGCGAGAGTCTTCACTACGTGGGGCGTAGATCCCAAGTACGCAGCACATACATCCGAAGCCATACCTACGTGTCGATGATCTGCCGGGGGGATGTGGGCGAAGCTGGACCGAGGAGGGGTTCGCGTATGCGGCGCATTCCGAGCTTAGATGTTGGGCGCAATGCGAGGGTGATGCGTCCTTCATCCGAAGCGAGACCGTGCTCAGCAAGCGACGGTTGAGATTTGGCCACATCATCGTATCTAGCAACAGCTTCGTAATTTTTCCTTTTAGACTTCTAAAAATGATAAATTTCGTATACGAGCTCCATTTTTGACGCTCTTTATATCCACATGAAGGCGGGAACGTACTCTACAACTTTCGTTTAGACTCCATCGGTTAATTTTGACTTTATTTTAAAAGTTACATTATTAACAGGTCGGGACAGGATTGGTCCGTTAAATTCTCATAACTTCTTCATCCGACATCCGTTTTTGTCCATCTTTTTCTTGTTATGCTACTCTTAACGAGATCTTCAATTCTCATTTAGGTCGTGTCGGCTAAAAACCGCTCGATCTATTATTCGAATTTTGGGTTGTACACTGCTAATTCGAAACTTCGAAAAATCATAACTTCCTCATACGAAGTCAGATTTGGTGTTCTTTTTATGGACGCTCTTGGTTTAACTTATTCTACGACTTTCATTTAGATCGAAAAGGCTAAATCTCACTCTATCGTAAGTTCACTATTTACATTTCCTGGTATCGTGTCGGTTCCATCGCGAAACTTCGACGGGTCATAACTTCTTCGTTATAACTCGGATTTTGGCGGTCTTTATTTGTACAAAAACCTTGTAACATATACTACAACTTGGTTAAGATTATTTATTCTAAATAATATTTTTCCGAAAAGTCATTTTCGACACTTATTGCCTCTAATTTGACAAGCCGAGATCTACGCGGGTTACTATACCCGTCCTTAGTCCTTCCTAATAGGTTTAACCCAAACCCTAACTTCTTTAAGACATAAATCTTGGTCCAAAATCCATAACATACTAAACCAAGGCACAATATACTAGATCTAGGCTTTTATCATCTGTTGGATACGTAAAGTTCCGAGCTTTCCTTTCATGCATGATCTTTTAGGGCCAAAAAGACCATGTTCTTGCATACAAGCTTGCATGGGGATTCCATGGTCATAAAGTTTGCACCTTTATGCCATGGAACCTTTCCTGGACTCTAGATCTGAGATATAAATCACTTGGGACGTCCCAATCCCAAGGACTAAGGTTCTTGAACCAAAAACATTCATAAAATGGATAGATCTAAGAGAAGAAGGATCAAGTTAGAGACTTGATTACCAGAAAGTGTAGCAAATGGAGTGTAGTTCTTGGATCTACTTCTTCCCCCATTAGGCCTTCTATCTTCTTTTTCTTCCACAAGCTTCAAAAGGCACAAATAACACTCAAAACAGCAAGAAATCGCTCAAGATCAATCAGGGTGGATTAGGGTTTCGAGATTAGGGTTTGGAGGTGATAGAGGCTGGGGTGGAGGCCAGATATGATGCTTAAATAGGGTGCAAGCCCTAAAGATTAGGGTTTTATCCAGCTTGTCCTACTCGTCGAGTCAAGACCCCAACTTATCGAGTAGCTCACTTAAAACCCGTGTATATATTGTCTTCTATTCCACGAGTTAGGGCCACCAACTCGTCGACTGGTCCTTCTAATATGCATAAATAATTAATTCAAATATGTACCATGAACCCATGCGTTACAATTCGACTAGGAATAGGAAGGGCATCACATAAAGCGACTGGGAGGAATTGCAAATCCCCCTTGAATCTTTTCTGTTAAGAAGAAATCCGATATGACGAATGTGGAATATCAAGAACAATCAAGAATCAATCACCATAATATGCAAGTAATTTGATAAAGGTTTTTGTGTATATTGATTATGATATGAACGTACAAAGAAAAGCCCTAATCCAGAAAAAGCTTATCTCAAAATCTAACCTAATGATTATTTATAGGGAACATAAAATATCTATCGTAAATATAAAACCAATGACTTAATATAAAATCAATGCCTTAGAAGAGCTCGATTAAGAACATCTACTGTAAAGGCGCCGTATGGAATCATAAAACGATTAACCCCAAAAAGGCTTCCCTAAATAACCAAACATTCCAAATCAGTTTTAATATCTCAAATACTCAACAATCTCCCCCTACATGTTGAAACTGATGAAGATCACGATTTTCGATCTTCTTGGCATTTCTCCCCCTAAATTGTGAGACTCATCAGCATATGGGGTCTTCAAAACGAGAGAAGCAAATATCGTCTTCCAAATACAAACTCCCATTGTATAATCATCACTCCCCCTTGAATCTTCAATAAATACCATTGAGAGAATCCGGAAAGTTAAGAAGGATCACCAACAATCTTCAAACCCCGTCAGATTTGATGAAATAAATCCCTTTTAGAACATTTGCAATACTCAATAATTAAAATCGGAAAAATAACAAAATTTAATTTTGTATTTTTCGATTTTTAAATTTAGACAAAATAATAGAATAAGTAACAATTATTTATAAGGGATTTAAAAGAATAAGACCAAAGAAAAGGATTAGAAATGAAAATATTTTGGAAAAAATGGGGAAAATTGTAAAAATCCAAAAATTTTGAACAGGATTTTGGATATGGGGTTGAAAATGTGAAGTTCTGAAAGTCAGGTGACTGAGATGAAAATTAAACTCATCTTCTTCATGGGAACGCTGATAAACTCGTTCATTGACTTTTTAAAGTCAAAATCGGATAATCGATCGAAATAATTCCGAGCATACTTCAAGTACTCACGATTTCAGACGATGATGTTGTCGAGAACCAGGTTACTAACACTAAGATCGACTTCAATTTCTGAAACAATTAATTATGATTCCCTTTCGTTTGTAACAGATTACGATAAAATTTCTGGTTTAAACTTCCGAGATTTTGATTCCGTTTCGTGAATACTGATTCGTAACAACATAAATCAAAAATGCGATTGATGCTCCTATTGATTGTTGTTTTAAAAATCCAGTTCAGTTTTGATGCACGAAATTCCGATTGCAAATCTGGGAAATTCTGATTCCAAATCCTATATGAACTTCCGATGCGATTCCGGTTGCAACATACGAATGTGTTGTAGGCGAAGCCAAATCCATTACATGCGAGCCATCGTTAATTGCAATTTAAAAAATGAGGCTTAAACTGCGAACCAGCGAGCCATTGAGATTGCAAATGCGAATGGAGGACTACGAACCTTGAACATCGCATGCTTGAACTCCAATTCCAATTCCAGTCTCCCAGAGCTACGAATGCCTGCGAATGTTCGCACCGTTTCGGAGATGAACATCCAATTCCAATTTGTGATACATATGCGAATCCGATTTTGACTTTCGTTGCGAAACGAACTGCCAAGGGTGAAGATGAAGTCCAATCGTGAAGTTGCAAAACGAACCCTTAGTGTTTTAATGAGGTTGAAGTTTGTACCTAAATTCCGAAAGTGACAACATTTTTGGAATAATTCCGAATCTAACCCCCATTTTTCAATAGCTCCGAATCTGGCCCTTCTGTTGACAGTAAACTGACAGCTTGCACCTTTTTTGCTGAAAAGTGTCAGATGACAGCCTTCTTTTTGCAAAAAAATATCATTTTTCACCCACTTTTTCAGCCTTTTGTCATTTCCTAACAATTAAAAATCAATAAAAATTGATTTCTTCAACAAAATTTATCCTTTTTTACTCAAATTTCATCAGCTCTTGTCCCTTTTTTTATAGACGACAAAACATTTATGAGATTTTCGATACCCATTCAAGATTCAAGATTAAATTTGGTTTCTTGCATACCCACTTATTTGAAGAAAAATCTATCATCTTCCAAAAATAATACCCACTTTTTAGTTGGAAAACAAAATTTTCCAAAAAATTCACTGAACCAATCAAATACTCTTTTCTCTTTTCTCCAACTTTTAACATATTCATCTGAAGAAAAATGAGAATGGAATTTCTTTTAAACACTCCTGAATTCAACTTTCTAAACCTTTTTATATGCATCAGGTACTTGTACCTTGGGCATCCAAAACTTCTTCAATTTACTCTTGTTCTTCTTCTTCTTTCTTTTCTAATTTCTAGGCTTTAGAAACGGATTTCGAATCTGAACAACCTCTTCATCTTTCTGAATCTGAACATTAGAAACCTTTGGTACACAAACTTTTGGAGTTTGATAAATATGAACATCTTGAAGTATTGGCTTTCAAGGAATCATTCCTTCAAAAATATCATCAAAACATAAAAATTCATCTGTTTGAGTTCCAATTGAACAAAACTTCTTCATTTTCACGATTTTGGATGAATTTCTTTGAGATTCGTCTTTTGAAGTACCAGATTTGGAATGTAACACTTCTGAAAAACATGAACCACTTGACTTCCCATTAACAAGATCGTATGGAGTCATCTTTTCCTCAGAAACATGAAGAGCATTATGAACTTCACAAAGAACACCAAGAACATCTTCTTCTTTTCTCATAGAATATTCTTTTCTTTTTCTTTCTCTCATAGCATATTCTTTTTCTTTTTCTTTCTAACTCCAACTGTTGTTTATTTTTCAGATCTAAATGTGGTTTAATAATACGAAATTGATCTATCAAAGCTTCATCATTTACTAAGACACAACTTCCATATTGATTACAGCTTGTGAACTTTTCTATTTCCCCATCAACAAAGAGATTATACATCTCTATAGCATCTCGATCCACATATTGATTGTACAAATGCCAATATTTTCGTAACTCTTGGATAAGTGATCTTTAATCCAATATTAAAAACGGAAGACAAAAACAATGAGTTTGGTGATACCATTAGATCTTCAACAAGTGACGGAACTTAAAGAGAGAGAAAATAGATCTTATGAGAATTCTAGAGAGAGAAAACAAATATGAGATGGTTTCTAGAGAGAGAAAACAGATTTGTGATGATTTTTAGAGAGATAAAGTAGATTTGAACACAAAAAATTTAATAAACACGAAAAAATTCTTCTAATTCTCTTCCAGAACACGATTCAACAACAAATCAAATGAAATAATGAGTAGAAGATAACAGATATGAACAAGATTTTGCAATAAAACAAGGTAATAGACTTTTTCTTGTTAGAAAACTTACAAACTTGAAGAACAATGTGAGATTCATGATAAAATATCACCATAAAAAAGATCGATTCTTGCAATAATCACTGAGATCTACAAGAACCCGCTCTGATACCACTTGTTAAGAAGAAATACAATATGACGAATGTGGAATATCAAGAACAATCAAGAATCAATCACCATAATATGCAAGTAATCTGGTAAAGGGTTTTATGTATATTGATTATGATATGAACGTATAAAGAAAAACCCTAATCTAGAAAAATATTATCTCAAAATCTAACCTAGTGATTATCTATAGGGAACATAAAATATCTACCATAAATATAAAACCAATGCATTAATAAACCAACGCCTTAGAAGAGTTCGAGTAAGAACTTCTATTGTAATGGCATCGTAGGGAATCATAAAATGATTAACCCCAAAAAAGGCTTCCTTAAATAACCAAACATACCAAATCAGTTTCAATATCTCAATTACTCAACATTTTCCCAAGCATGTCAGAAAAGGACAACAATTGTTCCTTTTCTACGGATCGGTTTGTGTTAAAAAATTATGTGTGTGAGGGGGTGAAGAAGGTGACAAAGACAAAATAAAATAGAAATATTACCACTGTTAAAAATAAAGAACTCATGCATCTCATGGCAACGGTACTATTCAATACTCATCCCAGCACCAACAAGCATATGTTCACTAAATTCTTCAGGAACAATGGTAAAGCTGCTTAGAACACGAACAATTTCCTGGCCGTGGGCAAGGAGCTTAGGAGCATTGTCACAAGTCGGATCAGTGTGAAACTAAGGATCGCCAACGTGGGAACCGCTCACCCAAAACCGATGACTATGCTAACTTTTTGGACTGCTTTTCCTTTCAGGAACAAGAACATGAGTATTATTTCGAGCATAGAATTTGAACTTGTCACCAGCAGTGGAAAACCGAAATAAGTTCTTGAATACCCAGATACTGGGAAGAAAACCTTGGGAACGAAAAGTATTTTAAAGGCTATGATCTTGGTTACAACATTGGAAGTAAGCTCGTATATGTTGACACCATTATTGCACATTACCTCTTCCAATAAGTTAATCATCGAAAGCCGGTAACCGGCATCAAAGGTCTTCATGAAAACACCAACCTTCCCCGGAGGAGGTTCTAAAAATGAATCCACGTCCACCGGAATCAATACTCTATCTTCTCGATGAAAATCGTACTTCTTACGAAGAGCATCAACATATTCCAGGGTAGGAACCACGCTGGAAGTGGAAATCATGTTAATGGGAATAGCCATCTTGAGAAAGTGTAGAGAATAGAAAAAGAAGGAATAGAAAATGCAGAGAAATGATCGAAAGATGGAAAGAGATGAAGTATTAATGGAAGAAATCAGAAGGAAAAATATAATGCCCAGAAAAAGTGGTCACATCCACAGAAACCATAACTGCATGATGTTTCATAAGGCGACATATGTGGCCTGAACTCTAGAACATAATGGTTGGTTGCACTACACCATCATTACTAGACTAGGGGGCTTGATGATGTACCTCATGCCAGTTTGTAATGATGCAACTAGCAAGACAACAATTAGTCCTGTGAGACAGTGGAGAAATATAGTTGAACGGCCCTGTCGGGCAGACTATACTAACCAAGTAAAGGATCTGCTATGACAGAATCCTTATTTGATAGACAACAAGGCTTCACATCCCAAACAACAAGCCATCGAGGTCTAGGCAGGAACTTTTTCCCCCCACGCATGGCTACCAGCTGCCACACAGAGGAAGAAGTCATTAGAATAGTGCACGGGCCACTATCTTATTCCCTCTATACCAATCATAATGGGAGAAGATAGAGACGAGGACATTTGGACCAATCAGAGATCGGTACTCTAGATACCATTGCAATGGTCCCCTCTCCTATGCAAAATATTTACTATAAAAGAGAAGGAATGTCTTCATAACAGAGAGAGTCTTTGGACCGTTCTCACACTACGCTCATTCATACACTCTTCTCTAAGGCTAACTTGACCGTCGGAGCACCTCCCCGGGACCTCCTCCTGGGGCATGACTGACATATCATTTGATAGTGGCTACAGGTTCTCGGCGAATATCACAACATAGTCTCAGTATCCACCCATAGAACAACGCTGCAACGATTGATAATGTAACATTACGTTTAAAATGGAATAAATTAAACTAAATAAAAATAAAATCAATAAAATAAAATATATAAAATAAAATAAGTAAATAAATAAATAAATAATAAGCATAAAGCCTCGAGATGTATTTTATATTTCATTTTATTTTAGCCATAAGTTCGTAGTAATTTACCAGTGTTAGCCGTAAGAAGTTCAATGATATAATTTCTAGAATTTGGGGTCCATATTGTAACATTAGGACCTGATATGTAAAGGATTTGGTAGATTTGGGTTTGTAGTGTAAATATTGGACCATTTCTAAATTAATTTTTGGAGGCATGGACTAAAATAGTAAAAATGTATCCAAGTTTAATAAAAAGAACGAGACTTGAACCCGAATTCTTTCCACTCCCTTACCTCGTCCCTTATATACCCTAAAACCCTAACACTATTTTCTAAAAGACAATCATCGTATGTTCATCAGCCGCCACCACCCCTTCCTTTCTTATTATCACCAGTGAACCTTTGCTGCCAGCGGTATTAAGGGCCGACGAGAACCCTGGGACAAAGTCGCATCAGTTTAGAGATCACAAAAGCAAGTTCGGCATCGTGGTTACTAATGGTGTCATTCTCGGTTGTGTCTCTACTTCTCCATATCTTCTGTTGCTCCATCTCAACCCATGTCCGCCACCGCTCCACGCGTTATCTCATTTTTGTCATTAATATTGCCATATTCATACATATTTTTAGGCAATATTTAATTACATTTTGATTAATATTTTGGTTATTTGCATGGAATAATGGTATTTATATTTGTATTTTGCAGCCAAAATAAGTCATTTTGAAGAATAATGACTAAAAGTGGAAAAAGAAGAAACTTTGGAGGCTTGTAAGATTAAAGAAGATAAAACCCACAAAAAAAGTTGTACCAACATCATGGATATCTATTACACGACATGGAAAGGAAAATTCTGGAAGATAAGTGCACACAAAGTTGAAATCCTTGCCCGATAAGGATTCTTCCATGTCCACGATGTGGAAGGTAATTTTATGACAAATATAAATACTCTTGATCTCTGCAGGTTTAAGAGGTTGGCTGGCTAGGAAAGGGTTCCAGAATTTGATTTTTAGAATACCAGAAGGCTAGGAATTTTGCTTTAATACCAAGGAAGAGGAAGAAGTTCATAATTGATTTTTTTAGTTAGGTACTTTAACATGCTTTCAATTATGACTTCTTTTAGTTTAATTGTTAGTATGAGTAGCTAAATCTAGCTGCTTCTATTAGCTAGATGAAGCTGGAACTCATGGTTTTATTCTATTGATTTAGACTTTTCTTGTTGGTTAGTGTATTGTGTTTGATTGATTACACCTAGCATACTTAATTTGATACTAGATTGCTTTAAATTCTTATTCTATGTAGTTAGTGACCATTAATCTGCATGAATTTGAATACATATTAATTTAGTGAACATTAAATTATTAAAGCTAAGATTAAACTAATCTTAGATAAGTAGTTGAACTATTGAATTTAGTTGTGCTAGAGAACTCGTATTGTGACCACAATTGTGTTTATTAACTCAATATTACATAGCTCCAATCATATCTAATAAATTGATTATGTGTTAAAATTATGTGTGACTATACATAGCTCTACATGAATTAGTTTAATACTAGTAAATTTGGAATTGAATTGCTATTAATATTTTAATTGGTAACCAACAGGAATTGTCACAATTAATAATTAAATCATTAAGGGAATGTGGATTCGAACTAACAGAAGTGTTTTTATAATATTGAATAGTTGTTAATAAATTAAGTTCATCTAAACTTGCAAAATTAGATAAAAAAAAACCTTTTTAATTATTGTTTAATTTTAGATTAATTTAGTATAATTATTTTAGCTAATCAAATATGTTCCCTATGTTCGACCGCGACTTACTTAAACGACAATTCGACTAGGTACACTGCCTAGGTGCAAATTAGCTAGTTAAGTTAGTTAGGTTATAAATTTATAATTAGGTGTAGCTATTTGCACGCATCAGTCATCTTCGTCCATCATTTGCTTCCGAGAAGGTGGCTACAATTGCGTTTTATTATGTGTGTGCGTGTGTGTTGTTGTTGCTAGTTAGTTCATGTCATGTGTGTGTTTTGTTGGCCGGAAAAATTGAAGAACCACCATGGCAGCCAACCATGGTGGATGTCGCCCGTGTTTCCCTTTTTTTGCTGCCACCAACCATTGTGTGTGGTGGTTGTGCGTGTACTGTGTGTGAATGGGTGTGTTTTAATGTTGTAATTGGTAGGAACGAATCTTGGTCGGAGAATCGAAGAAAACTCCACCACCACCACCGTGAGGTGGTGGCTGCCACCGTTGACCACCGTTTTTGGTGGTTGTCTTGAGCCTTTTCTTATTCTTTTGGTGCTAGTGTGTGTGCATATGTTGTAATGCATTATATGTGTATTGGATTGTTGGATCTATTACTCAAATCGTCGTCGTGTGCGGGCGGCTGCTGCCTCCTGCCGCCATTGACCTCCGTCGACCACCACTACCCGAGGTGGCAATGGGTGGTGCCCAATTTATTAATTATATATATTTATTTAATTAGATAATCAATTAACTTTAGGGGTTGGAAACCTATTTAGGGTTTAGAAATCCCTAATATCAAGAAAACCCTAATTTTGGAGTAGGTCGGGACCCGCGTTAAAACTATTAATAAAACCTAAAATAATATTTAATAATTCTCCACAATTAACTTGATGTGATATTGAATTTAATGGATGAAGTCCTTAATGGGTTAAGTGAGGAACATTAACCCTAGTTATCATTTTATGTAAAAACCCTAGAATCGAGGAGCTCTATTTTGGGCAATAATTGGGCGCTTTTTTAGGTTGTTGACCAGATTATTATTTCACCTGAAAACGACTAAGCCAAACCTTAATCAATCATACCCTTAAGTGATTAATTCCTTAATGGGTTAAGTGTTCTTACTTAACCCTAATCGTCATGTCATGTGAAACCCTAATCATCATGTCATGTGAAACCCTAATTGTGATTTCATGTGAGGTGGTCACTGTTGCAAGTGACTATGACCTATGATCGGGTATTAACTCAAGTATCTTCCTGTAGGTGTTTGGAAGTGAGTTGAAGCTGGTAGAGCCCTTCATTGCTGCAGTGGTTTCTGCACACACATCAAGGTAAGTTTCGCCTCACTATACCCATGGGTCGAAGGCACCAATGTCGGCCCACTAGTATTGATTATCTGCTAGTAGAGGGATGCCTTAGGGATTGTATATAGTCATGTAAGATAGACTGAGGACTCTTGATCTAAGCTCTCTTACCGGTTCCTTGTTTGGTTGTGGTTTTCGAGTAGGATCACCTGACCGGGTGACTATCTCACCTCTGAGTATATATACGGTTATGCATTCCTTGGATTGTTGATATTTAGTATGTTATTATGATGTAGTAATCCATTATATATGTGTTCTGTTATTGATTATGTTGTTATGTTGTAGTGATCTTCTAGTTCTATGTTCTGGTATTGAGTATGTTGATATGTTGTAGTGATCAGTTAGATCTGTCTCCTAGTAATAAGTATGTTGCTTTGTGGTAATATAAAGTAGAACTGTATGTTATTTGTGCTTGTTGGTTATCATGTATGGAGTGTCCTTAGGGATTGTCGGTGGTTATGTAGGATAGCCTGAGAACTCTTGGTCTAGGCTCTCTTGCATGTTACTTGTTTGGTTGTGGCTCTAGAGTAGGACTATCTGTTTGGGTGGCTATCTCACCTCTAACTACTTATGGTTATGCATTCTATGGGGGTAAGCTGGTAGCGAGAAAGTATGTGGCAAGAGGATTAGTAGGCAGTAGTGAGCTGTATGATTGTTGTTTGCCTGTATTATGTGCCTACTTGATCATGATGGTTTATATGTCGACATATTGTGTTGGTTGAGTTGAGGCGGTCCTGCTTTTTATGGTAGGCCAAGATACTCAGTGCGGGCCAACTGTAAGTCGTAGGCACAGAGGCTCGAGATGAGTGGTAGGGTTGAGGCGGTAGGCCAACAAATCCTGGTTATTCCAACTTGATGGTTGATTGGACCCGACATATTGGTATTCCCAGAAGATCTTCCAGGAATTCCACCAGAACGCCAAGTCGAGTTCAGAA